TGGCCAGGTATAAATGAAAGTAACCTCTTTGAGTATCCTGTCTGTGAGCTGCCCTTGTGCAGCACACTTAACCTGAGCTGTTCCGGTAGAACAGCCAGTAGTACAGGGCTGTGGCTAAATTGGGGAACTTCCAGCTGTGAATGTGTGTAACTGTGTGAATGCGAAGCAGGGTGGTGCTGAAAGAAACAGCATGCATGCTCAGCAAAAACCTTCCCTGGACAAATCACTATTAAAAAAAAAACATTGCTCATCTTACAGTTGTGCATCAGTATATAACTACAGTGTGTTTTAGACTGTGTGATGCTGCTCCCAATCAGTGCAGTCCATATCAGATTTCACAGTGGGCAAGCGTGACTCAGTGTAAGAGCTGGCTTGAGTCCTACAGCATATTTTCCAGACTTACAAATGCCTTTGTCCAGAGCTTGGACAGAAACATGATAATGGACAAAGCTGCTGCATTATATAGTAGGGTCTATTGATTTAATGGCATGTAGCTGTAAGATGCTCATCTTAAAGGCACAGTTCAAAAATACATATTTTTCCTCTTCTCTTGTTGAGAGCAGTTTAATGAAGAAACTATTTTCTTTCTACTTAACAACTGCAAACTGTATCGCAGCATAGAAAGAAGCATGCATCTACTGCTAGCTTACTTAGCATAACACTAGGCCCGTTTCCACCGCAGGAACTTCGGGGTAATTTTACGGGGCCTGGGCCGTTGGCGTGTGTCTCCACCGCAGGAACCACCCCCGAAGGACAGAGTTCCGGAACTTTTACAGGGGCTAAACAAGTCCCTGCCTCGGAGTAGGTACTCAGAACAGCCCCAAGAGACTCCTGGCTGGGGCTTGGGGATTACTTGGTGCTGATTGGATATACTCAAGGTGGGATGTGACGTTTTGTAATTACTATGGTTATCGTAGATTAGCTGGGCTAACCGTTAGTTGTTAGCCGTTAGCGGTGTCTGTAATAACTCAGTAACTCAATATACAGTCCGTGAAAATAATCTTTTTCCAGCAGATATCTTAGTTACAATATGATTGAGCTAGCAAAGCAGTTTTGTGTTGCTATGTGTGGAATTTATTCAGTTTTGGGAAATCACAATGTCTAGAAAGCATCAGTGGCTGCAGCTGACAGGGACAGCTAACAGCAGCAGCAAAGCTAACATCAGGACGTCATCTGTTAAAAGCCTCCCGTTGTCGGATACCACATGAAACTACTCCAGTTAGGTCAGTCATGTTGTAAGTAAGACATCCGCTGGGAAAAAAAAAATTTCACAGCCGTTTATTGAGTTATTGAGTTAATACAGACACCGCTAACGGCTAACAGCTAACTACGTCCCTACGTTGCCCCGGTCAAAATGGTCGCGCAACGATTACGTCACATCCAGAGCCCCGTAACTTTACAGAAACCTTCCTCCTACTCTGCTCTCTCAGTGGAGACACGGCGGTTGAGAGGGCCGAGCGAGAGGATGTTCATGTAGTAGTTCCTGCCCCCCAAATAGTACCAGGAACTTCTTCAGTGGAAACGGGCCTATTGAGCTAGCTAATGTTACACCTCAGCCAAGGAGGACACCATTAATCTTTACATCTCACGCTGTCACAAGCGTGAGCCTCTCGTCAATGAGTAGATGCATGCTTCCTTCTCGTAGTGTTGCAGTTGGCAGGCGTGGAAAGAAAATGGTTCCTACATGAAATTGCTCACAACAACATCTGTGGATTACCTTGAGTAACTGGGTCGTGATTTCTGGAAAGAGACAATGCTGTTGAGTTTTTCAAATGTATTTTTTGGCACATTGAGCTCCACAAGCAGAGTGCCATCTAGTTCCATTATGTTCAGTAGAAGGCAGATAGCTGATAGGCTGATAGCTCCAGTGCTCTGCAACTCACACCAAAACAATCCAGACTGACAAATAGCACCAAAGGTAAGAGGAAAAATATGTGTTTTTTGATTTGAGGAGAACTGTCCCTTTAAATTGCAACTATGGCCTCTGTGGATGATAATGTACAAGTAACACAGAGAAGAATTAGAGGGCCACATACTGACCACAAAAAATAATGGCAGTACATATTGTAATACATGTCGAATTATCTTTCTCTCGTCATATACTCTAATAGTTTAACCTTAACAAGAAGCAGTATTTATTGTTGTGCTCGCTCAGTCTAAAGCAACTGGCCATCAAACAGTTAAAGGAGAGAAAGCAATTATAAATAGTTAATGTTTATCATGGAGGTAATAATACCAGCTCGTTATTCTAAAGGTTGTCTTGACGTGATCTGCATGTTTGGAATCACGCAGGCAGCGATAACACAACAACAAAGTTGGCAGCAGGAACAGGCTACATGCTTCGTAGGGGGAAATTATATAAGACACCGAAGCACTTCCTCAGGTCAGCCCCAGCCACCTTCTCAACAGCTTTTATTTTCTTTGCATAAAGATCACATCATCTCTCAGCTTAAGTCGTTCACAGCCACCTAGCGAGCCTTTAGAAGGCTTTGCAGCTGTGCACAAGGAGGCCGTCCATTAAGAGTTAATGAATTCACTTTCACAAAAGGACCTTAAAGCCACAGTTCTCAGTGCTGTGTCTCGGAGATAAAAATAGAAACGAGGCAGAATGGACGGGATGCTATTTACAGTCCTCCAAATATCTGTCGCAGAAACTGTCCACCTATAGTAGTAGGCCTACTTTCCCCTGAGCATGAGGAAATAATGACATGAATTCCCTCTGCTTCCCAGAGACAGTGATTACATCTCATGCACTTATAATTATTATCACCCACACCCCCACCCCCTCCCCCACACCACTGCCTGAACTCTGCAATATCACAGGAAAATCTAGGATTGCATAAGAAGCCATGCACCTATTGCCCTTAATCTGAACTGTGAGAGAGAAATGAAATGGCTTCTGGATGCATGCGATGAGAGCAAATATCTGAATATTTCCAACACACTAACTGTAGCTTATTACAGCTGTGATCGCACCTGTGATGAACGTAGGTCTGTTTACTATAAATGAAATGTGTCATGGCTGCAGGATTTCTACATTAAACAGACAAAGCATCCACACATTCGGTGACATGGTTTGCACCAGTCTGTCTCCCACTGACCCCTGGCTGTAAGTGCATGTGTGTCTGTGGTGTGAACTGGGGCCTCAGTGAGTGGGCACTAGCACAGAGCAAAGACCACAGGAAGTGTTTGGAATGCCTTTGCTTGAGCTTTATCAAACAATGGAGGGCTTATTGGGTATTTGATTTTCCAGATAGCAAGATCAGAGAACAACTGACTGTGCATGCACACACTTCAAGCACCTCAGAGAAATTAACAAAGAAGAAAGAAAGGAATTCAGGAGATAATATTTAGTTACGTAACGGCTGTGGTATTTAAGTTTTTTTCTCCGTGCAAGCTAAAGATGTAGGTTGCGTCTGTGCTTTCTTGTAAAACGAGCTAGATTTTACTTGTGCTTCTTTCATTTCTGCATATTGTGTTTTGCTAGTATCACAAAAAAACAGTGACAACCTTTCAGTGTATAAGACTTTGTTATGAATAATCTTAAACAATTTGCATTTCAAGTATTTGCAAACACAAGTTCTTGAGAGGTAGGAGAGAGCTGGATTGAGGTTTTACACAACCTCCTCATCAGAATACATCTTATTAAGTCTTGCATAGTGGGTGTCCGATTATCCCACAGAAGAGACGAGGTGGACATTAAGCACTAACATTTTAAGTATGCAGAGTAATTTCCTGCCTCAAGGACCAGATCATGTCAGTGATATTGATTTGAACACACAGATGTCTTGACATGTGGGCACAGATGCTTCTCAAATGATATGAATACAGACAGTGATTATTCAATTTGTATTTTAAAGTGCCAACATCTTCACAATCATGCCAGGGTCGCTCAGGGGAGCCACTGAGGTTATTTTAAAAACTGAGAGAATACAGATTCCACTTTCATCACATGAATTGCCGCTGATTTGTGCGCCCCTCTGGGTGATGTGATTCAACAGAATTTGAAGTCAGGACATGCTGTATCAGAGGAGGGCAGCCTGGAACACCCAACAGCATGTCACTGACATTTACTTAGACCAAATCATGTCAGTTTTATTATGATTAATGCACGGTGAACTTTTGAAAGTAATGTCACAAACGAACGTCCTCTATTAACCAAAGCTCTTACTGAATATTTGGGAAGAGATAAACATGGTGCTTAAACATCATAAAAGTAGATGAGGGTGTGATTTGTGCATGCATGTAGTTTTGCAGTACATACAGACTGTACCAGCTGGGCAGGAGCGAAAGATCCACTTAAGCTGGCATGATGGGAAATGTATGATAGGGAAGTAGTTTAGTCAAGTCAAACAGATGCACAGGCCCAGTAACAGTGATCCAGAAGGGCTTGGTATTTACAGTAGGCCTATTTACAACACACACTGGGCGAGTCTTAAGCCGGTGTTGGGTGTTGATAATATATGACTGGATCAGCATCCATAGCAGGTTAGTCTTGCTTGACACAGTGCTACCCAACCCCCTGTGACTGAACAAACTACACACTGGCAGCATAAGGAAACCCATAGGCTACTGCTGTGTAAATATCCAGAAAACTATTTCTGTGAAGGTACAAAGCTCTTATCTTATTATGAAACAAATTATGTAGAACATATTTGACTTGCCTGAAAGTGGCACTTAACACCTCTCATAGACACACCTTCAATACACTCAGCTGACAGTAAATAACCTCGCAAAAATGTCACAGCAACGTCAGTTTTCTCTCTGGTTTATTACTTAAGAGTTCCGTTTCGTGGTCAGTTCTTGGATCATATTTGTTGGCTCCTAACTCTGGCCTTGTTGTCGAGATGCGTGAAACTATAGTAGTGGCTTTAACGCAGTCATTCTCAAAATCCTCTTTAGAAACATTTCGCTGCTCGAGCGTCCTCCTCACACAAGTCAGGTCACTTTCCCTCAACGCGATGTTTACAGTTATGCCATGGTCACATCTGCTTGCTTACCGTTTTGAGCCGAGATGAAAGGCAGCATCAAGTTCCCCAAAAGGACCACCGCCAGCATCACTGCGTTAGGATGCATTGCTGGGGCTCGATGAGAGTACCAGGGTCTCGGTCGGACGAATGTGGGAGGAGAGATCGTGTATTAAACCACAAGATCTAGAGAGATGGGCCCAGCATAGCACCGGGTTCTTTAAAAATAGTCAGCCGATGAGGATTTAAAAAAAAATAAATCTGTAGAAATGTCTCCCTGATTCAAAGACCTTTTGAGGACAGCGATGGGTGAAAGGTCCGGGACGAGGCCAGCGGCTCAGGGATGCCGATATGCGGCCATAGGCGGTGAAGAAGCCTCGTCGGATTGCGGAGGAGAGGTCTCTGGGTGTCAGGGAGATTGTCCACAGTGTAGTTCTGAAGATTCAAAGATGCGCAGAGCGATGCGCATTTGCGCTCTCGCGGTCACGGTTCGGTGATTAAAATGAAAGTAGCGCAGAAATTATTCCCGACGGGAAGTGATGTAGCCTAAACATAAGTCTGCTCCAAAAAGAGGAACAGATGCTGGTAGGACACCGACGGCAGCAACGACAAGCTGCGCGTGCCCTATGCGCTCATGACCGTGGATAAATACACGCGGGCGCACACACGCATATAACACGTATGTGATGTTGTTTGTGAACTCAGGCAGTTATTATGTGCCTCCCTCATTTCCTTGTTCGCGCATAAGCTTCAATTGTTATTCACATTTTCATCATGTGCCATTTAGAGGCTGTTGTTCTTGCTCATACAGTATTTAATGAAGTGTAAACGACTACAGTTATAGCCTCCCCCTTATGTGATTTCCTTACTCTTTTCAGCATCTCTTGCAATATTCATGCAATCACAAACTGTCAGCTCCTTCATCACCACCAGTCAAGTCAGATTTCTCACAGACTTTGCAGAACAAATGACAGATTTTTCTGTGGGCGAGATTTCAGTATTTACATTTCAAAACTTGCAGTGGCTGTGCAGACGTTACTGAAGGCAATCCAGTCACAGTTTGCACCAGGCACATTTTTCCCAAGCCTAATTCACAGTGCCTAAATACTTTCTCTTGTCAGGTTTTAATGTGAGGAGATTATGGTGATGCTCTTGAGCCCACTGAGGTCATTTATAAATTATGTCATCACATCAGTGGCCTGGGTGTTCTCAAGCTGTATGTACCACATCCCCTTGAAAGTTCAACATGGCCTCCTGTAATCCTCTCTATCCTTAATCTGTGCTGCTCCATGGGCGACCTCATGTGGCCAGTGGAGGTAAACTGGAAAGCCCTCAGCATGCACTCCATTTTTTAAATCATAGACAATTGCAACAAATGAACCACAAACACTTGAGCACATGCACACACTTCTATAACTAGGCTTAAAGATTAGTTAGATAAATCCAGTAACCTTTCAGTTGGAAAATACCTTTTTCAATTGTGCCATTTCTTTGTTTTGTTCCATTATAGTGAAATTCTGGGCCTGTAACTTGACACCTCAATGTAAAGGCTTGCCCTTTGACATAAGCCTATGCCTCCATGTATGTGTTTTTGCTGGACTACTGCAATGGGCCATTCTGTGCTCAACTGCAGAACAAACTTCCCTCCACTTTACAGCCCTCCCTCCAGTTTGTCCATGGGAGACCACATTTAAAATGTAACCCCACCTGAAACCTCGCACAGGCCAATCAGCTAGAGAAATGTCAGAGCAGTCGGCACACCCTCCTTTGTTCAAAACCAATCAGAGTGGAAGTGTGGCATTTTGCCCGAGGGGAAAACTTACCCCTGGATGCGTTAATTACGCATCACTTAGCTGTTGCCAATGTGTTCACAACGGTGGACCCTCTTTTGGGCTTTTTACAGCGTTTGTCTTCATTTTTCGGTCAATCTAGTATGGAAAGTAGACAACAATGGCTTACCAGGCTGAAAAATGAACTTAGCAACAGTCCTCTGGTATCAAATGTGGCTTTTGGCTTTATCCTCATGGGACTAGAGAAGTTGGTGGAGCTGGAGTTTGAGTGTCCTTGCAACCCTACATGGAACGGAGTGTTTTCATCAGCATTCTTCATCATTCCTGCCGTCATGGCCTTCACCTTGATGCTGATCATTCAAGGATGCAGATGTGATACGTGGTGCAGGAAAACTGTTTCCCTCTCCAGTTTCGTTCCTGCTATCGTGTGGCTCATTTTGTTGTTCCTCGATGGCCAATACTTTGCTTGTGCTATGACAGACTGGGAGGGTAGATTTGTACTAGTTGACAAGGCAGCTCCGCAGAAGTGGTGTGAGCCAATTAGTGAGGGAGATGTCACCCCACAAGAACTAATGCTCCGCTCACAGCAGCTGTTTGTTTTTTCTCAGGTGAGTTGAATATTTTCTAGTTTACAGGAGATAATGTGGGATGAGCGGAGTGAGAACACGAGAATGCACTGCAGAGAATATATCTCCATAATGTGATGCCACTAGCCTTTGGAAACTGTTATTATAGCTCTGTTAATACACTTTGTTGACCAACAATACACATTTTCTATTGATGTTTACTAAACAAAGTGTCGCTTCACTCTTTTGTACCCCAGGTTATAGGCATAGTCCTCCTCATTTTCATCTGTGTGGGTCTCGTAGTGTATGTAATCAGAGAAAGCTGCCAACAAGAGGTGGAGATGCAGGATTCAGATGTAGCCGAGCTCACCGTCCTCAGGATGAGCTCTCTACGGACCAGGACATCATGAGAGGATTTACACCGCCCACCACACCTGCCCTGCTGGCATGGACACTTTGTAAATACCCCGAACGGACTTTACTATGACTTTTCATAGCTGTTGTCAGTAAGTGCTGTTTGAAAGTATTTCCCCTGAAACAAATTGGACATAGGTCTTGAATGGTTAGCGATGTGGCCTTATGAAGTTGCCGTAAATATGGATGTTATTGAAAACAGTGTTTTTGTATTAACAGTGAATATGTAACCAGTCTTGTGCCTGTGTGTATCTCACACTTCAGGGCAGCAATGTAATCGTTTTTACTTATCTTTAAAGCAGTGGTTCTCAAACTGTGGGGCAGACCCCCTTGAGAGGGCATAGAGCCTATGCAGATGGGACGTGGATGACCAGGGAAAAAATATAGAGTAAAACCAAATTAAATGAATATGATTTTTGTAGGGAAAACAAACAAGAGTTTGCTTATGCTAACATGCTGACCTTTACTTAGCTAAAATACAACATTGCTTCCCCACTAGAGCAGGAATGAGTCCTAAACCCGTACATGGGTTAGCATTTTAGCATTCCCGGTTCCCTCATCTCAAAGTAAAGTTATTTTCAAACTTTTTCTTTTCATTTTAACTCAGAGGTAATTTTGTTGTGGTTAACACAAGCTTAGACTTTAGCATTTTGTTCTATAACGTAAAATACATCAGTAAATTCTCCACCTGTAAATTTTGAAGGCCTTATGCGTCTTAAAAAAGGCGATTGCTAACAAGTGACTAAATGAGACTACCGAGTGTCATCATGCAGAACATGACTTTACAGCGTCCTTTTGAAGGCAACGTTTAAGTCATGTAACTGTAGTGTAGTTCCTTAAAAGCCTAACGTTAAGCTTTTTACCTCTGGCGATTGAATTTATGCTCCAGAAAATCATAAAAGTGGTGTTCGCTTGTCAAGATTGTCTTGCTGAACATAAAGTGTAAATATTACAATGTTTGTCTGCCAAAATCTAATGGAAAAATCACATTTGCTTTTAGTTGAGGGAACCAGAGTCCATCCTTGCAACACTCTATTATTATTAATAATTGATTTTTTTTTTTTTTTTTTTAAAAAGGTAGGTGTGGGGCTTTAACTTTTTTCCCAACTTCTAAAGGGGGGCATGAAAAAAAGATTGAGAACCACAACTTTAAAGGAATAGTATGATATTTTATTTATAAATATGAAGCTACAGTCAGCAGGCAGTTAGCTTAGCATGAAGACTAGAAGTAGAGGGAAACAGCTAGCCTGGCCCTGTCCAAAGGTAACAACATGCTTACCAGCACATCTAAAAGTTCCAAATTCATCAGTTATATCTCAAGAGTTTGATCTGTACGAGTGTAAAAACAATAATTTGTTGTTTTAAAGGTATGTGCTGAACTATTGCTTGTATGGAAGCAGTTGCCAGGCAACCAGTGGAGACTCCAGGAAATTACTGCAAGAAATAGTCCAGCACAAAACCCCTCATAAAACAGTGAATTATCCCATTCCACCCTTTTTTCCAGTCTTTATGTGAAGTTCAGATACCGAGGCTGCTGACTGTAGCTTCATATTTACCAGACAGACACTAGAGTGGTTATCGATCTGCCCATCTAACTCTCAGCAAAAAGGCAAATAAGCATATTCCCCAAAATGTTAAACTATTCATTCAAAGTGATATTTCACTTTGACACATTTTGTGTGTTTTACTGTCAGTTGAGTGTACTGAAGGTTTGTTGTGTTTTTGAGCCAGCAGCTCTGAGAATCTCAGCCAGCACTGCTCTCATCTTTAACTCTGTACCTTGAAAATAGCATTTCATATTTTTAACCTGGACGTTTTTTCGTGCCTTTTGTATTAGCTATATTGACACAAGTAGAATCCACCTGGCAGCTGATATTGATCCGACTAATATTAGTTGACTTGTACTGTTTGTATGAGGTGTTTGTGCCAAAAATGAAAATGTTCCATCAAGGTGAAATTTCACTTGAAATACTTTTGTTCTCCCTCCTGGGTAGCAAATGTCTCTAGACTTATGTAGGGTCATGACCTCCGGCATGTCTGATCCTACCAAACCGTGATGATTCAGACTGAACAGATATTCCTAATGATTTACCTGTTTGACAGCTAGAGATGTAAAACCATGTACATGATGATTTGTATCATGGCTGCAACCAGCCAATAGTAGGATGTAGACACAAATTCTGTAACAGTATTTTCAGTATGATTTTTTTTATTGTTTTGTAATAAAAGAATTTATTTATTTAAGAAAAACCCTCAGGGATTTTGTACAGTCATGTCATTATGATATTTAGTTAAGAAATAGATACAATCCTCACAAGCCTGCAGTCTTGGGAATTTGAATTTGTCTTAAAGTGTGATCAATTCTGTTGTGAAACTAGGTTTACTGTAGCATCAAATACTAACACGCTGTAGAACAGAAACTAATCTTTTGTATTACAGACACTGCAGTTTTGTCATTCAAAGCAACAGAGTGGAAATACTGGGAATATCCTTTCAATTTTGGGCTTATAATAAATGCCAGACATTAAGTTAATCAGGACCCTTCAGTAAAAAAAAAATTCGAAATGATCAGTGTGACACTTGCTACAATAGCGGTAGGTATCTACAGAGGAAACAAAGACTGTCTGTAGATTCTCAGGTGAGCAACACCTTTGTATCCTAGGACAGCCTTTATCCAGAAGAGACTCACTCGGAGACTTTATTGGCTGATCTCTGCAGCCTGGAGATTCAACTCAAGTCTGACGAAACTGACACATACAGCAGTTGTGTAGCTCTGACTCATATTTCTTGTTACTTACAACATTGCCCAAGTGCCAGTTAAGCCCATTAAGTGTAGAAATTGGGGCAGACCCTGCATGTTCATCCTGTGGGAGGGCTTATTCAGGACTTCCTGTATGGCCCTGAGGAAGTTGTTGTCTTTATCCACTCCGCTCCCCTCACTTTTAGACACAGCAGGGTGTCACATTCATCAGCAAAAAACAAATGAAAAGCTAAAACTGGGACTCAATGGAGTCTTGAACTACTTTCCTTTCTTCTATGAATAATGAACTGTTTGCATGACCTTGACGGTAAACTATTCTTGCCCCGAGGAGCCAGCCTATAACTCTTAAGGCTTTCAGAGGTAATTTGGCAAATGCTGCAGCTTACTGACTTTTTGTTACAGGGATTTCACCTACAAAAGTCTCCAGAGACATACCCCAGTCCAAATGTTACGGGACAGCTTTAGGGGCAATGGGAGACTTGAACAAAATAGCAACTCATCCTAAGCTACAGATATTATATTACAAGGTTCCAGGTCCAAAGTCATAAATAACATGCAACTGTTATTTGGCAAAGAACTCACTCTCAGCTTTTACATACAATATTATTTATAATACCAGTCGTGGGCCAGTTGTTCTTTTGTTATGTTAAGGTGGAGATGGCTGCACCATATTATTATGAGCTAATATTACACCTACACCCCATACTGGTTTGGTAAAGAGAAGCGAGCTAACAGTACCTTACACTATTAATGACCCTAATTTGTTTCTGACGATGACATACATGCTCACCTTTCCCTCATGAGGGATCAGTCAAAGAGCCATGAGAAAAAAAATCCTGTATCAGTGATTAGAATTCAAAATCACTTGAACATCGTTATTTCTAAAATGTGCAGCTCCATGTGTAAATAATAATTCCTAGAATTTCAGCATCCATTATTTCAACACATTTACTTGAATGAAATCTCAAAACCAGACGATCAGACTAAAGTGAGAAATGTTCCTCATCAGCACTGGAATTAATGTAATCTTATATGTTGTATAAATAACTAAGATCGAGGTATCAAAAATAGTCCATATTACAAAATTGTTCAGGTAAATAACACACCTCAAGATTTATTTAAAGAAAGGATTTAAGCATTTAAGGGTCCAGAATAGCCCCGGTGTGTCACTCTAATCTTTGTGTGTGAAATAGGATATGTTTAAATCCATACAAGCCTACACTTGTAGCTCAGAACATGAATCCCCAATACTGTGCAACATCAAGGAAAAAATGTAGTCATTTTAAAATGGGAAATCTAAGTATGCTGTGCTACAGTGTGAGACTAAAGCTGAAAAGTCTTGAATATCAGTGGAGCTAAGAGAGAAAAAAGCTACAAACATATGCAAAGGCTATTTCCATTGTGTGCTAATTAAAGAGGACAAACTCATGACCGGTTCACACATATCTTTGTAAATGCTTTTATTATGTTCCCCCTGAAGTGGCCAAGTCACTGTACATTGGTTATTTTTTCAAAATAATGTACTTGCCAACCTGCCAAGAAAAACTGCATGCCGAAGATGAAACATGTTTGTTTATCCAGATTACCAGGTTGGTGAAATAGCAACACCATTTATGGTTTAGATTTAATTGCAATTGCTACTTTGATTTTTTTTTTTTTTTTTAGTCACGTTTACCTTTTCTTCTCAGACACAGGGAGCATAAACACCTTATTAAGGCAGCAAAGGTGCCCAGAATAATCAGTACAACTCCAGCTAAGAACAGCATCACATCAACAGAGTGGTAGGAGTACAGGGGCAGTCTGTAGGACTCAGTTCTCAGGTGAGCTGCACCTTTGTGTCTCATGACAAACTCTATCCAGAAGATGGCGGTATCTAGCGGCTTCATTGGCAGATCTCTGTGCAGCCTGGAGAGTCTCTCCATGTTCATCCTGTGGGAGGGCTCATTCAGGACTTCCTGAACACCCTGAAAGAATATGTCTTCATTCATACTAAAAATATCAATTATCTTCCCTGCTCCTCTCACTTCAATTCTTAATAGATTATCACGCTGATCAAAAATCAAAGGAAGTCCCAAGATAGGAACTCCGTGGTAGATTGCTTCTTGAACACCGTTTGTTCCTCCATGAGCCACGAATAGTTTTGTCTTGGCATGTCCTAGGAGATCGTTCTGTGGCATCCAGTCGACTAGTAAAGTGTTGTTGCCCAGAGTGGCCGGCCTGTCACCTTTATGTCTCCAGATGACTTTCTGTGGTAATTTAGCAAAAGCTGCAGCGATCTCATCAGCTAGGTCACGGGGAAGCTCTCCAATTAGTGTCCCCAGAGACATGATGATGACTCCATGCTCTCCAGAACTCTGCACAAACTCCTCGAAGTGTTCAGGGAGAGGTTTTGCAGGTTTACACTGAAACCCTCCCATATAGACGACATTAGGCATGGTGGGACGAGGGAACTCAAACACAAAGTCCACTCTCATCAGCCAAATGTCTGCTGCTGCAAAGAGGGTTAAAAAGTCTGTGTCTGGACCTAAATATTTATCAATTATGCCAGCATAATATGGTAAAACATACTGTGCTATCTGATACTCTCCAAAGCCAAAAGCAATTACGTTGAGAACTCTCTGAAGAAAGCTCATTTTATCTGGGAGCTCAGTCCCTACAATAGGGATGTAAGACAGAGGAGAAGGTGCGATTGAAAAATGACCTTCACCTTGACTGGTCCATCTCACATTGTAAACAAGAGGCAATCTTAGGTAGCGGGCAAATACAACACCTATTGGTGTAACAGGGTCTGTAAGGACAAGATCATATTTGGCATCCCGTAGAGACTGCATCAGATCTTTGTTCTCAAAAAGCAGCTCAAGCATTTTGCTTGTTTTCACATGCATCTCAGAAGACTTTTGTGCCATTTCCATCTCCAGTTTGAAACGTGTCCAGGCAGACTTCCCTCCCCTCTGGATTTCCAGCAACTGGGTCACAAATGCAGTTAAAAATTCTTCATCAAATCCAGATTCTGTATCGAGTGTAATTGAAGTATAGGATGGGGAGGTTTCCTTGATGTACCAGCTGTCTGATGATCGCACAACAGAAACGTGGTGGCCCCTTGAGTGTAGTTCCTCAATAATGATTTTCATGTTCACCCAGTGGCTCCCATCCACTGGAAAAACGAGAACCTTCCCACCATAAATCACAGTTGGACAGAGCAAGAAGAGAGTGATCCCAATCCAGGTGGAATGCATTTTTATTCTAAAGTTGGAAAGGAAGCATATTTTATCTTAGCAAATGCATACTTTTTTAGCAAAACACTACATTTTCTTAAATATACAGAATGAGGTTTCTATCACTGATTTGTCAATGAAAATTCTGCTGTTTACCCTCAGTCTTTTCAGTTTTATAATCCTTTACAATACCTCAACCACAAAAGTGCCATTTGTACATCACTCACTGCATTTTGCATTGAATTTGTAAAGAAAATACTGTTTTTCTCTCGTGCCTCCACAGTGAACGAAGAATCAAAAAACAAAGAAAATCCTTGATGAACTAAAGTCATAGGGGGTGGCTGGTGCAGTAGGAGTTCACCAGTTGAGTTGAGGTGATATAATTAAGGTTTACTGTGTCACTGGTAGTAGTTTGGGTGTTTTTCTGTTGGAAAATGGGTTTATTTTGTGTGTATTTTTGGTTATCTACATACAGTATACTTCAAGTGCACCGGCCTATAGACTGGCGCACCTCACCCCCCTGCAGCAACACTAACTTTTAATTGCTTTTATAATAAATGCTTGTTAGGGCATTTTGACCTGCACTGACTATTGGCTTCATTATTGATTAACCTGTAGTTATATGAACGAGGACTTTGGTGTTACAAGAGAGAAAAAACTTTTTTTTTTTTTATGAATTCAAGGTAACGTGTGGTGAGTAATACATTGCCAAATTGTCATTTTGTGGGTGAAGATTCCTTCTCACATTGTTTTGCTTTTAATAGTTTTGCTGTAGTATGTAAAGCCTGCTGATTTAACCTAATTATTGATGTATGATGCTATATAGCGTACAGTAACTCAATTTTTGTTCATATGCAAGCCTTTTTAAACACTTTTACTTGCAGTAAGGACTAACAAGTGAGTAACCTGTACAGCTGAGAGAATCTAAAGCACTGGAGAAATATATTGAATGCTAAAAATAAAATGAAAAATAAAAAATTAAATGTTAAAAATGAACTTTTGGTTAAACCCAGTAGCTCAAATTGACAGCTATCAGTCTTTTCTACTGGCAAAAGATGAAAGAAATTCCAGTATTACCTTTTTGGCACACAGTGTGTTTTTCAATATTCTCCTTTGCCAGAGGGTAAAACACGTCGTAGTCCTTCAAGGTTCTAATCTTAGCATGACTTTGGTACCGCAGTAGCAGTTGCTTAAATGCCCAGGTGATAAGGAAAGGGGAGTAAAAGTCATTGTGTGACTCTTACATATAGCCGTAATAAAACTCAATATCTTAAAAAAAAGATTAAGATTGTGATAATAATTCAGGTCATTTTATTGCAATTACATAATTCCCTTTAAAAATGCTACAGCAACATGCCTTTATGATAGCTTTGTTATGTGGCTCACAATGCTCCCATTGTCATCTGAAAAATGTCAAATTATAAAATAGCTGGTGTTTAACAGTCAAGGGAAATACTGTAAATGGCTCAACAACATCACATGCTGGCTGGTAATGGTACCAACAAATCCTCATGTAGATCAGGTTGTTTTTAATTCATCTATTTCAACAAACCTGTCAGCAGGGCAAATCCATGCTGGTTGGGAAAAAAAGAAATAAAAGTGTATTATTTTTCTTCACTCTTATGGTTCACATTGTTTATTTTTATTGCCAATATAAGCCTTTTTATTATTTTAGAATCCTCCCTTCAACAGTGTGATTTTAGCATAATGTAGTATACAGCAAAAACCATACAGAGTATAGAGAGTTGAAACTTGTATCTTGTCATCATATTTATCTGCTAGTATGGTAGTTTCCATTCACAGTGAGTTCTCAGACTTTGATTCAGTTAGAAACAAAAGGTACATTGTTACACTGATGCATACAGACAGATCATTTAAAATGACCCTGCTTTCAACAAAGTAATGATTGTGCTTTTGCACACTGGTGGTCAAAGGTGGGAGTTACATTTCATTTTTTACAGTACACATTTTTCTAGAAAACTTTAGGCACCTTGCAGACACATTTCAAAGGTAAAACATGTACTCCTTTCAACTGATCACAGCCGGATTACTGGTTAGTCAGATTTCACTTTTCTTTTGGAACACAATCTACAGCATGACCGTACTAACCCAGCAAATAATAACAAAATCAGTAGCACAACTGTTATTAAAAATAGCATCACATCAACAGAGTGGTAGGAGTACCAGGGCAGTCTGTAGGACTCAGTTCTTAGGTGAGCTGCACCTTTGTGTCTCATGACAAACTCTATCCAGAAAATGGCGCGGTCCAGTGGCTTCACTGGTTGATCTCTGTGCAGCCTGGAGAGTCTCTGCATGTTCACTGTATAGGAGGGCTCATTCAGGACTTCCTGTATGACAGTCTGAAATGTTTTCCGATCCAATTCAGAAATATCCATGACTTCTGCAACACCCTTTGCTCTCAGTCTGGAGAGGTTGTCGGCTTGATCGAAGACAATGGGAATGCCTACGATTGGAACTCCGTGATATATAGCCTCATATATTCCGTTAGTTCCTCCATGACTTACAAAAAGTTTTACATTTGGATGTCCTAGGAGGTCATTCTGTGGCATCCAGTCGACTAGTAAAGTGTTGTTGCCCAGAGTGGCTGGTTTGTCTCCTTTATATCTCCAGATGACTTTCTGAGGTAATTCAGCAAAAGCTGCAGCGATCTCATCAGCTAGGTTACGGGGAAGCTCTCCAATTAGTGTCCCCAGAGACATGATGATGACTCCATGCTCTCCAGAACTCTGCACAAACTCCTCAAGGTGTTCAGGGAGAGGTTTTGCAGGTTTACACTGAAACCCTCCCATATGGATGATATTCGGCATGATGGGACGAGGGAACTCAAACACAAAGTCCACTCTCATCAGCCAAATGTCTGCAGCCTGAAACAGGGAGAAGTAATCTACATCTGGGCCAAAGTAGCGCCTGGACAGTGCAGAATAATGTGGCCCAACTACCTGCTTGTACAGATGCATCCTCATGGTATAGAAAACTACATTTTTGATTCTCTCATAGAAAGTCATCTGATCTGTTAACTCTGAAGGAGGAAGCGGGACATAGGAAAGCGGAGAGGGTGCAATAGCAAAATGGGCTTCACCATGAACAGTCCATCTTGCGTTAAACACTAATGGCAATCCCAGATAGTGAGCCAGCATTACTCCTCCTCCGTTAGCAGGGTCAGTCAAAACCACATCATACTTCGCATCTTGCAAGGATTTCATCAGCGCTGTGTTTTCAAATATGTGCACAACCACTTCACAGATTTTCTTGTGCAATTCAAAGAACTTGTCTTTTAGCTCCATGTCTAAGGCAAAACGGGCCCACACAGACCCCTTGCTTTGTTTGATTTTAATAACTTCAGAGACAAAGAGACGAAAAAAATCCTCATCTCCACCACCGGCAATGTCCACTGTGAGAGTATTGTAATGTGGAGACGTTTCACTGATGTACCAGCTATCTGCAGCCCGAATGACAGTCACAGTGTGTCCCCTTGAATGCAGCTCCTCAACAAGTACTCTCATGTTCACCCAGTGGCTTCCGTCATGTGGAAATACCAAAACTTTCCCACAGTGGGTTGCTGGAATAATGACAGCCAAAAGAGAGATGATGGAAGCCAACGACAAAAACATCTTTAATTCCTCTCAAATGGTGCAGTCTGAAATACAAGTACAACAGGGGGGGGAAGAAGCTGTTACTTACGCAATCCAGGAAATGTGTGCACAAAGACAACTGATATACCAGGCTGCCCACAAAAGGGAGCTACAATGAGGCTCCTTTCAATTGTCTTTCTATTTGAGTGGAAAAATGCATTCTGACAGCTGTCACGTGGATGTGGCACATGGGGCCTCTCTGAGGAAATTAGAGTGCTGTTTGGTGCCAACAGCTCCGCATGCATGTTTTTTTTAACCCCAATCTCTCTTAGCAGCAGTGTTTTTACAACTGGAAACGTGTTCAGGTTGAAAGAAGTATTCAAGAGCTTCCATCTAAGAAAACACATAATCCCGCATGCATTAAATCCTATGCACCTATTTCTAATCTTTTAACAATGGACATGGTTCAATAACATCAGCTGGTTAAAACTAGAAACAGATGTATCCCTTACTGTGCTGAACACCGCTTACAATCCTCTTCACATGGATCTCTGTCTTCTCTTAAAAAATAAATATTTAAATGTCAAGCTTACAGTGAAAACTCCTCCGGCACTCATGTAACAATCTCTCTCGCCAGACAGCTGAACCCAAACAAAACTAAACAGACCACTGAAGAGCTTTATGTCAAACCAGTGTGGCAAAGAGACACTTCCTGGTTTTTGTCACACCCTCAGAGTCAGTTGGAAAAGATTGTTGTCTCTCGCTAGGGCAGCTTCTAGCTGCAGGGTTATGAACAGGAAAGCATTACTATAATGGATATACATACGTCTTTCACACAATTGGTGCACCAAAGTCAAATGCAGGGGGACTTTATATATTAGAACTGATGTCTTAAAATACAAAGACAACAAATAGTGGAAAACTTTCTTTTTATTTATGTCAATGGATTTTAAACAGTATCTGCACCACATATAGTATAGTGTCATTTGGATGGTACATAATACCACCTGATTGAGCAGTCCAAAAAAGAACACTGGTTTAACACCTTAACCACATTTGCTATGACACATTAAGTGTGACATTCGTGCAGAAACATTTATACAAACACCTCACAAGCAGTGAATGCCAGTAGTTCAATGTAAAATAACAACTCACATAAATATACTGCATGTTATATATCAAACAGCAGTAATACAGAAAAATCTAACATTAAATTTCTTATATATGTCTTCTTGTGCACATAATGCTCAAAAGTATGGACCTGATTTAGAAAGATTCTGAACTTTATTGATGTGAAACGTGACTAACACGTCACTAACATGAGAGAAACAAGTCTATTAATAGCAAATTTACATTAAATCCCTTTCAACCTCACTTGACTCTTACTTCATGTTGTGTTGAGTGTCGACAAACAAGTGAGGCTGAGAAAACCACTTCCTTTTTTTCCCCCCCTAATGTAACATATCTACCTGGCCTTTGCCTCACAGCAGTCCTGCTGAGCTTAACTACACTTAAGTATTAACTCTTTAAGGAACTCATTGTAGTGCAGTGAGGCAAAGCTTCACAGCAATCTACAGGAAAGTGTTTTCTTTACCACAGTCACACTGACATAAGATATTATATTAGAACTGAAGAAATCTGAAACAACACTTTGACCTAAGATTACTCTAAAATGAGCTTTGGATTTGTAATAAAAGGCAGGCAGTGATCACGCCTATATAATCATAGTTCCCACACAGTCCTGTGCACACCCTTAAGGTGAACTCCACCTCTTCGCAAACATGTTTATTGGACAAAGTAAAACATGCTTTTACAACAGGTATAATAGAGTGCAGTAGTTGTTATCTACGCTACTGTGAGACTTGGTAGTGACATGTGCCTACAGTAAATACCCAATCTGAAGATAAACAAACAGATCTTTTGTGTATTTCCTCACAGTTTACCATTTGCAGGTCCAGTAGTTTCAAATATTTTCTTCTCAAATGTACAAACCACAAACTTGGGATTTAAAAAAAAAGCTGTGACTAAGTGTGGCAGGAGCACATTCAAAAACTGTAGCTTTCTCACTCCACACAAAGCAGCAACACCTGAGGCTGATTGCAATGACCTTCTTAAGGACATCTACACCAGTTATGTCAAGGGAAAGATGCACCACCTAGTGGCTGGAGGTGTAAAACTGAAAATGACTCACAACAGGCAGAAATGTGTCAGAAAACATTTTTTATCTTCTCCAGGATAAATCAGACCTAAACAATCAACGTCTGTTAAATCTCTTTCAGTGATTGGTTTTACACAGAGTTACATTTAGCTACATGAAATGACAACTTAGATAAAAGGCAGGTTTTAACCTCAAACGTGGGCTCTTTTTTATGACTGTGAGCCCCTGCTATCTCATAATACCTAAAGACATTAGGTATTAGGGACAGTCCTGCCATTGCCCCTGAACAAAAGTCAAATACAGGTCACAAATATTCCCACTGAGACAAATATAACTCAATTTACATTCATATTTACATTCATTTCTAGTACTTGTAGTCTTGGTTAAAAAAAGGTCTTAACATCAGTTCAGTACATGCAAATACTTACGATAAAACAAATTAAAATAGCATACAATGTCACTGCTGCGCATCTGCCAAAATGTTGCATATGGGCAAACCTTACATTGATCTCTTATACTACACTCCCTATCAGTTTGGATATTGATGCTTTTAGAAAAAAATACAAAATGTATTTCCCTTGAATGATTAGTCACGTTTCACTTTACGTTTACACATTGTAGTATATAAACACCTGATGAAAATGACAGTGGTGAAAAGCACAAGCAGCACAGCTCCAGCCAGGAACAAAAACACATCAACAGAGTGGTAGGAGTACCAGGGCATTCTGTAGGACGCTGCTTTCAGGTGAGCTGCTCCTTTGTGTCTGATGACAAACTCTATCCAGAAGAGGGCGTTCTCCAGTGGTGTTATTGGCTGATCTCTGTGCAGCCTGGAGAGTCTCTGCATGATCACTGTGTAGGAGGGCTCATTCAGGACTTCCTGTATGACCCTCAGGAAGTTGTCGTCTTGGTCCACTGTTTTGATGGAGAGAATCTTAGCGGCTCCTCTCTCTTGAAGACGCAGCAGGTTGTCGTATTGGTCAAAAAACAAAGGAAGACCCACAACTGGGACACCGTGATAAATAGCTTCTTGAAAACCATTAGTTCCTCCATGAGCCACAAATAGTTTCATCTTGGGATGTCCTAAAAGGTCATTCTGTGGCATCCAGTCTACTATTAAAGTGTTGTTGCCCACACTGGCTGGTCTGTCACCTTTATGTCTCCAGATGACTTTCTGTGGTAATTTAGCAAAAGCTGCAGCGATGTAGTCTGTTAGGTCAGCAGGAAGGTCACTCACAAATGTCCCCAGAGACATCAGGATAACTCCATGCTCTCCAGAACTCTGCATGAACTCCTCCAGGTGTTCAGGGAGAGATTTTGCAGGTTTACACTGGAACCCCCCCATATAGACAACGTTAGGCATGGTGGGGCGAGGGAACTCAAACACAAAGTCCACTCTCATCAGCCAAATGTCTGCATCAAGCATTAACTCATTAAATTCATTATCAGGCCCAAGATATTTGTCACACAGTTCCTGGTATACTAACTTAATCACCATTTGACTTTGTGTTTGGGTAATTACATGCAAGATGACATTTTTAACCCTTTGAAAAAAGGTCATCTTATCAGTGAATCCAGTTCCTGTTATAGGAATGTATGATAAAGGTGAAGGAGCAATGGCAAAATGACCCTCTCCAGCTATTAGCCACCGCACATTATAAACCAAAGGAAGGTTCAAATATTTGGCCAAAATGACTCCACCGCCCCAGCAGGGGTCGGTGAGTACCAGGTCAAACTTGCTGTCTTTCAGGATGCTCATCAACTCTTGGTCATCTAGCATTGCTGATACATATTCAGCTATGGCCCTGTGAGCTTCAACAAACGTGCCCAACATTCCTACAGTAATGTGGAGAAAACTCATCAAGGGAAGAGCCCCCCTGTCAAATTTAATGACCTTGGATACGAGTTCTGTAATGAACTTCTGATCTAAGCTCCGCTCCACCTGAACTGTATAAGTACTGTAAAAAGAGGCTTTATCCTTGATGTACCAGCTTTTGCTGGAACGCAGAAGAGTTATATTGTGTCCTCTTGCGTGCAAAGCTTGAAGTAGGATATCCATGTTTATCCAGTGGCTGCCCTCAATGGGAAAGACCAAGATGTTGCCACCTTGACAGGCTCTGGGAATGAGGACAAGCAGCAGCAAAGCAGTGCAGCAATGGATCAGTCTCATCTGAAACAAAGACAGTGGACAATCAATTGACTATGGTGGAAATATATTGTGTCCATTTCAAAATAACTTTAAAAATAAAAACTTTCTTAAAGGGGAACACCACCTAAATTAAGAATTCCAATGTGTTATTTCCATGGCCCAGGAAAGTTCGATCAATATTTGTGAACATGGGCTACTCTCTTTGAAAGCCAGAAACCACAGAAGTAAGTTTTAAACTTGTGATGTCATAGGGTATCAAGTCTGTAGCTGCTCCTTAGACAATGAATGGGAGCCTGATTTCATGGATCCATAGTATGTTTTTTTTATACCCAGATGACCTAATTCTGTGGCAGTGATCTCAGTTCTGAAACAGAAAATGTACCCATATACTCTAAACATTCCCCTGGATGCTCTCAGTGTCATGTATAGCATGTTTCCTAAATCACTGGCAATGGAGCAGCTCCAGACTTTACACCCTATATGATAAAAAAAATAGTTTTAGCTCTCAAGCTTTTGAATTGAAGAGAGAGTTGTTCATTTTGACTATGTTTATGGACTGTCTAATACAGGGGTCTGCAACCTTTGCCATTAAAAGAGCCAATTTTGACCAAAAATAATTTGAAAAAATCTGTGTGGAGCCACAAAACATGTTTGAGCCTTATAATCAAGGTAAATAGCCTATTAAGTCTAAATAAGCGTATACTTATGGTCTAAATAAGCATTTGTTAAGATGTTTTACCACAAGGTGGACACTGTGCAGGGCACTATTTATGATTATTTGGTACTTAAATTTTGCAGAGCTGGCAGTGAGAGCAAACAAATCTGTCCACGCACTACTACATTCTCTATTTTATTCAATTTACTTTTTTGGATTTGGTATCCATAGCTAACCAGCCACTGCTATCGAGGTTCAGCAACATTTAGATTCATAGAATGAATTTCCATAGACTTCTTTTCTCAAAGGCTCAAGGAGCCACTGGACAGGGGCTAAAGAGCCACATGTGGCTCCGGAGCCACAGGTTGCCTACCCCTGGTCTAATACTATAGCAGGGGTAGCCAATTTGCGACCCCTCTCCAGTGGCTCCCTGTGGCTTTGACAAAAAAATATGTCAATAAATAACGATATTTTTTTACCATTTTAATTTTCATTTATCATCATTGTAAACCTTAAGAAGTACTTACATTCTCCAACTGTAAAAATGCGCAGCCTATACACCAAATAAGAAAAATGTTAAAACATTTCATCCGCTAAAATGTGTGTCGAACATCTATGGCCTTGTACTTTTTCCTCTAAATTTTGCCAAACCTCGATAGCAGTAGCTCGTCGCACAGATTCCAATTCCAAAACAGGAAGTCTTGAAGGAAAACAGAGTATTTATTAGGGTGTGGACAGGTTTTTTGCTTTTAGCGCCAACGCTGCAAAAAAAATACCAAATGATCATAGAGCCTACTGCAGAGTCGCCACCTTGTGGTAAAACATACTAATGAATGCACATCTAGACCTATTATTTAGGCTTAATTGGCTGTGCTATCTTTATATAAAGCTCTAATATGTTTTGCAGCTATAGACAGATTTTTTTTCTAATCATTTTGGTCAAAAATGGCTCTTTTGAAAGTAAAGGTTGCTAACTCCTGGACTATAGTAATAACACATGAATTTTGACAGTGAGTGGAGTTCCCCTTTAACACTCGTGATGCTGCTCATGCTGCAGGAAACATAGGAGTCTGTTATAAGACATGAAGCCTATTGTGTCTCACTGTGTCATTTAGTTTTTACAGTACACCTCCATCATTTTCCATTGCAACCTCATTTTTACTGTATTTCCCAGTCAGCTCAAGGTTTATAGTCTGCTGTCATGACCGGCAGCTGGCATATTCAACGCTTACTTGTATAAGATCGTTACTTTTTTGCAAGTTTCTACAGCAAGATACCAAACTGCAGCGGGATTTTGACCACCCTGACCCACCACCACCCTCCTCCTCCTCTCCACAGACTGAGCAGCAACATATCATCCTATATGCCGTTAACATGCAGTAAACTCTCATTTCTATTCTCAAACATTGTTAACACGATGCATTAGTACTCACTGTGGACTGTGTTGTTCCTCCGCACAGATAAAGTAACGGTGTGGGGGAACTGCTTTGCACGGTGCCAATACATCTAACGACTTCAACAACCCGGAAAGGAGAAGTTCCGGATTGTGCAGGGAATGTTGAGTACAACTACCGTGATAAGGAAGTTAATGATTGACAGGATCAGTGTCATATCATCCAGAATTATTGGCATGTGTTAAAATAACTAGGATCATGGTTCATCATTCATGGATCATTTTCGGTTTATTGAATTTAAAGTCTGTGCTTCAATAAGCGCTCGTGACTCTGTGACTACAGTCGTTCATCATCATTAAGGTGATCTGTCTGTTTATTTAATCCCAGTCCTGACCTCATTAGACCAGCCCAACACAAGATGGCGATCTTACTATCACTTTGTCTCTTGGCAGTGATTAAAGGATTACACAACAGGCTGCACATTAATGTCATTTAAATTGTGCTAATATCAACCTGCTCTGGCTTTGTTCCAGTCTTTATTCTGACTTCTGTGATCTCAGAGAACAACCTAAATGTTCACCCTGAGGTGGCAGCCTTAGTGTCCGGATGTTAAATCTTGTCTTCGGTCTACTGTAGGCTGTTTTTAGCTTTCATTGAGTGATGACACAAAAATGACACAGTATACTTTCTCAATATGTCTATGTGTCTGAATAGGTTTGATTGGTTTGTATAGTGTATTTGTATGTAACAGGACATGTATAGTTTGGCTTGGATTTCACAGTGTATCCCATTTTCACATTTTATAAAACATACAGTAGGTAAAATTGAACTTGGTCGCATGCATGCAATATTGAAAAGGGATCTTGTCATACTGATGCATATTATATATATATTATTTTTTAATAGTGGCAATCTGAAGAATCCTTCAAGGCTTTTTAGACTAATTATACAGCATGAAAAATTCAGTTGTAGCCTTGCTGGCCATTCTTAGTCATTAGTTTAACACGGCGTGTCACATAAGTCATTGAACAATGTGTTGAGATGAGAAGAAATGTTTCCCAGACAGATGACCATAAGGTGAGATGGAGTTACCCTTTTTCTCAAGGCTGAAAACATATTGTGTAGCATGACTCAGTGTGACTCATGAAAGATAAAAGAAACTAAATTAAAAAATTTTAAAAAATTACTCGAACAAAAAGGCGAAGATCAGATTTTCCTTTGTTACAAATAACAAAAAAAAAGTGAAAAGTGAGATCAGACTCAAAACTAAGTATTCAGAGGTGATGGTGCTAATTAATTTTTTAACACAGGCTAGATATTGTCCCCCCCCCCCCCCCCCCACCCCCCCACGTCATACAGCCTCTCTGGGTCCCACAATATGCTGTCACCATGGAAGCACACACATTCACACATACAGAGAGACCGAGAAGAGCCGAGAGAGGTACAAAATGTAATATCACATCACAAACAGAATCAGTGGCAGAGCTGTGCTTGCCATTCTCTGATGCTGCTGTGAAGAGGCAGTGAGGTGGCTGCATGGAGGGGGCGACTATCCCCGTCTGTGATTAGTGACCACGAGAATCCTAGGAGGAGGGGAAGGGTGGGGGTGGAGGGTTACGAGGCGGGCTCTTGGTAGGATGAGGAGAAGGAGGAGGAGGAGGAGGAGGAGGAGGAGGAGGAGATGAGGATGCGTTCCTGTGCACAATTGGAAGCAGCAGGGAGTGAAGCAGCATCTGTATGAGGCGAGAGAAACAACCTGCATGGAATGGAGGAGCGCTAAAGCAGCACTGTCGCTGTCGTCAAGACTCCCACCGCCTCCACCACTGCTGCCACTCTGGATTCAGTATTGATGGAAGATGCTCAGAGCAGGTATGTATGCAGCATTTGTACGCTTACTGTGTGAGGTGAAATAATTACCCAGGAGAGGGTCAGGTTGGCAAGGTGAGAGCAGAGTGCGTTCTTGGCTTGTGTAGGATGCTGAATATTAAAGGTGTGATGAATGCAGTTTGTTATTTAGAATGCTCGACATCAGGATTTTAGGCTTTACACAGCCTATTCACTGAAATGAGCAGCTGTGTTTGCATGGAGCTTCACCAAAGGGGAGCAGGGGTGGCTGCCTTGGGATTTGAACCCTTAACCCAAGGCATGATTAAAGCCATACTCTTAACAGCACAGATGTTGGCTCATTGTACACAAAACCTACTGTATGTCATTACAGCTGTTTTTAATTTTTATTTTGCAGCTCTGTGATGCCCAAGGAACCAGCTGTGTGGATCCAGTGCCACCTCTGATATGATGCTGAGAGCCGGAGGAGCAGCCACCTCTCTCGCGCTGCTGCTGCTGCTGCCGTTGCTGTGCTGCTGCCACCTGTGCCACTCACTGCGTAAGTTTCTCAAGGACCGGGAATGCCTCATCAGATTACCATGGTGGAATGTCACAGTCGAGTACGACAGATGGCACAGTCGAAGATAAGTTGGACTCTAGTGGTTATGTAGAAACAGAGAAAATAGATGTAGATATTGGCAGATGGTCAGTAAAGAGTGAAGAGAGCTTGCCAAGTTGAAAAAATAAGGAATGGTGTTAGTTTGACCACTTACCTTCTCATATCAAATTCACTGTTCAGGCCGAAAGCAAACTACCCACCTACTGAACGAGCAGCACATTTCTAATGACTAAAAGACCGAAACCCAAAAACCAGATAGTGTGCACTAACAACACAACACAATATCTACTAAATGTGGGTTTGACTTAATTAAATGAGTCGTTTTGGCTGACATGAGCATTTACTGAACAGGCCTACTGAGCAAAGTGTCAGCCCCTGCCTCCCCTGGCCTTCACCTGCAAAATGTCACTCAAATTAAAATGTTCCAAACAGGAAAAGACACAAAAAGACAACAATGAGATGCAAAGGAACTACAAAGACACACAAAACGACAACAAAAAGACACAAAATTACCCCAAAGACACACAAAACAACTAGAAACAGACACAAAATAACTCCAAAAAGGGGTAAAACAACCAAAAAGAGACACAGACCAACTATGACACAAGATGACTACAACACAAAAAAGGAAAATCAGTACAAAGTCAGTGTGTTTGTTTCCAGTCCTTTGTAGGAGAGGCCTTTTAAAAGTCTGTACGGGGGCCCATTGTCTCACAATACACCCATGGACGCATGGAGTTCTTGTTTGTTTGGTTTTCAGGCACTCCCAGGTCTTGTATATACAGTCCAATGCTACGAGGCTCGCACAGTCATCAAAAGGCCGACAAATGCGAATCAAAGCAGGGACAATAACAGGAACAAACAACAGGGAAAAAAATGTTCGGCTCAAGTAACGAGGAAATTGAAAGCTGTCTTTTACTCTGTATATCCTGAGGTGAATTAAACGTAGCTGGGTGGGCAGATGATAGGGTCAGGTGATGAGCTCAGGCATTAAACTCTGGAGACACAGCTTGTGGGTAAGTGAGGAACAGCAGGTGAGGAATGATGGGAGAAGTTATTACAGTATGCACAACACAGAGGCTAATCATATGTAGCAGCAGGAGAGGAGGGAGGAGAGGAACTGTTGTTGCCATGACAGCGTGTATATATAGCGTGTAAATATTTGTGTGCGTGTATGCATCAACTGCACAGTGACCTTGTATTCATGTATACAGAATGTTTATGCATATGTTGGTACATTTATGAACCTAATGGGTTTCTTTGCCTTCTGCTAAACATTTTATTGCTTTCTCCTTTCCTCTTTCCGCTATCGATGTTTTGCATATTTGGTTGGTATTAACGCATTAGTTTGACCTCGCTGTAATCCTCACAATCTCTATGATGGCACACAGACATTAAATATTCTGTGTTTAATTTGTATTGATTTGATTTGACTTTTTTGTGATGCCGCCGCCTGCACAGAGCAGATAGCATTGACCCAGGACTCTCAAATATTTATTTTCACCCAGCAAGCAGTGCAAATGAGCATTTCCTTTATATATTTCTGACTCTATATATTCCATTCATCACACACTAAAACAGAGCAATGGTGAAACCAGCAGACTGTGCGGCTGCTTTCCAGTCGAGCAGGACGCTGGTGATGGTGGGGGAGCGGCTCAAGAGATGATGAATTTGCTTATTACGAGGTCATTGATTGAGGGTGTTGCAGCCTTGTCTTTATTGATCCGCACACGCTGAGAGGGGGGACTCCATACATTTGTGGTCAGTCTTGTGGTATATTTCTAGCCACATTCTCCGTCCATAAATCGAGTTTATAACTGCGCTGGCGAAAGATTTAAAGAGCGGGATGAAAGTAATGGCGTGTAATTCAAAATGCAATCGATATTTTCAACACCGTAGAGGAGCTCTGCTTCAGCAAAACAATGCGACAGTTTGACTGTGATCCAAACAGTGTCACTGCAATGTAAAACAGGTCAGTTACTCATCTTGTAACTGCACCTAACTTTTTTGCATGCATGGATAGGTTAGACAAGCTTAAACTGGATCAGAAAAATAACACCATAAAGTTTTTGTGGGCTTTCTGTCTTTTCTTGGCAGTGTTAGTCAGATTGAGTCAGTTAAGACTAATGGCTGGTTTTGAACATGTTTCTTGTCAGTCCAAAAACTATTTTCACATTCTGGGGTCAATATACAACAATTCCTCTATCACCACCATAAGTCCAAAGTTCAAGTCATGTTTTGACCTGTAGCTCTTGATCATATTGACACATCACCACACATCACTGTCCCATTTACAGTATCCGCTGTTTACCTTTTATTACAGTACATTTACATCTACTCACCCAAGACTCGCTGGAAAGAGGTGGTTTTTTTTAAGTATGCCCTTTGAATTGAGAGTGTTTGCCTTATTTACAATCACCGACGCATATGAGTCACAGCACAAAACAGGTAAATAGGCATATTAATTTCCTATTTTGGTGAAAGGCATGCAATAAATAGGAAGCAGGCCAAATCTCTGTTCAAAACTGTTTAGCTGACATAACATTCCTCAGTAAGCCTGTGTGCAATTCATTGTTTGCAACATGCTTTTTTTTATGGAATAACGGCTTGCAGCCAAACTCTGGAATAATATCAAGTCAGAACATAAACATAAGACTGGGAATCCTTTGAGAGTCACGCTGCATATTAGCTGGACGGAGTACTGAGCACTGAGAGAAAACAGAATTCTGTTGAAACGTGTCAGCTCCAGTTGACAGGCAAGCAGCCAAATGATGCAAAAACACCAGGCTACCACTGAACACGCTCCACTCATGACTGCGGCATTGAATATCATCCGTCTTTTTCATAATGGCTCCATTACAGACACTTAACTGAGTAAAGGACACCTGCATCCTCTGCTGCTGTTGAATAACAAACAGGGGTCAAAGCTAGTTATTTTGGCATTGATTTTGAGGTTTTCATACATTATATGTCATAAGGATTCTTAACGCCATTTTATGGTCAGTGTGTGTCTGGGTCAAAGCTTTATTTTCTCTGTGTCTTGAAACCAGAGCTTTACCTGGAGGTCATATCCAGAAACTCTAGATGACATAAACACTGTAGTAAGGTCAGAGAGGTGAGTGCAGTGCTGTTTGAGAGCAATGATAAAAACAGAGCTGGAAATGGATTCATTATCAAGCACAGGACTACTGAATAAATCAAAGCTACTTTCTACATTTATGTACAAGTGAGTATAAACTTAGAATTTTTCTGTTTAACCTTATTTTTTCTCACCTGTTTAGGGGTTCCAAAACTCTCCTCCTTTGCAAAAGCAGAGGACAAACTGTTCAAATACCTCTTTGGAAACTACCAGAAATGGGTGCGTCCAGTGGAATACCTAAACCAGACGATCCGTGTGAAGTTTGGACTGGCCATCTCCCAGCTAGTTGATGTGGTGAGGATGGAAAAGCACTGATTATCGGTATTGTTTATGGGTTGTGTCACTGAGGTGTTAAGTCAACACATGAATGTAGCAGGGTTAAAAAGAAAGCATGCTATTCTAATTGTTTCTGTGTAGAAATGTTGCAGCTGTTTTTTAAATTAATACTTTACCGCTAATTGTCTCACCATTTTAGGATGAGAAAAATCAGCGAATGACAACCAATGTGTGGATGAAACAGGTAAGCAGAGCTACACATCTTACCTTAACATCGCATTTCACCATCATTGCTAAACACACAGGTGAAGTTGTTCAGGTACGGCCGTTAGTGTTTACTTTATGGTTGAGGAAATACCCTGAAACAACCTCTGGCATTGCATGGCATTTCGAGGCAAACAGTCACCCCTTTTTAATCTGGTCTGCTGGCATTTCACTGACAGTACTCATCTATATGAGTCCTTTTGGCCCTGTGCCCACACACCTGCCTCTGCAAGCTGCCTTCTCCCCACTCCCGCTCCTGTCAGCCTTATTCATGGTCTTGGGTGTCCTGTCTGTCAAGCATCTTTTGAGTTATCCCCACAGACCAGGCTCTGCCATTCGGGTCAGTTGCTCCCTTTCACAATGATGGATTACATCATGCAAAAAGGGTGATGGAAGGGCACTGGCTCCAGTGGTGCTGCCTATCTATCATACATGTCATTTGCAAAGTATGACAGATTTAATAATTGTATCTCCTTCATTTGGCGGTCACCTTTTCCATTTAGAAAATGAATACCTGCAGATTATTCTGTTGCAATGTACCTATCATGTATGGCATATCTATATTTCAAATCAAACAGATTTGCTAGTTTTTAATCCTATATGAGTGAATTTTGCTATTTTTGTTTATTTATGTACACTATTGTGTGGGCTGGGCTGGGCAAAGTATATGCTTACTGGACAATCTCACATCTGTACAGTAAATATGAAGCTACTGCCGACAGCCTTTTAGCACAGTTTCGCACAATGACTGGTAACAGGAGGAAACAGCTAGACTGGCTCTGTCCAAACCAAACCAAACAGAAATCTACCTACCAGCACCTCTAAAGCTCACAAGTAAACACACTGTATCTTGCTTATTAAACTGGCACATAAACCCTTGTAAAACAGCAATTTGTCATTTTTATACTGTGGTTTTTGTATGGATTTAAAAAATGAGATCTGTGTTGATTAGGTAGCTTTAGAGGTGCTGTTGGGCAGATTTTGTAACCAAAGAGCCAGGTTAGCTGTTTTCCACTATTTTCAGACCTTGTGCTGAGCTAAATTAGCCGGCTGCTGGCTGTAGCTTCTTAGCATACAGGTAGATGAGTGTTGTAAATATTCTCATCTCACCCTTGGCAAGCATAGATATATAAAGAGAACTGGTTACAGTGTTGGAGGTGGGGCCCCGTTCATTCTTATGAAAGTTGCAAAAAGGTTCGACCACCGCGTATAAAATTACCTGGGTGATCGGCACTGCTTCTGCACTGTGTGGTCCATAGAGCAGGTGTATTACAGACTTCGGCAGAACAGGCTAATTTAGGTTTAGCGCTCCGCTAACTTATTTATTGGACCAAATGGATCTAATCTCTTAAGTGAAACAAGTCATTGTTTCACTTGAGAGATTCAAGTCTAAAAAAAAAAGCACTGATTTACAGACATTGGACCACAGGGCATTACATGAAGCTGTAATTAGACTGTTTGACCACCACAAAAGTTGGCTTCAAAGCCTGGCGCACTTCCTGGGGGCCTGTTGCCAAGACAGCAAATAAGTGTATTTCCCAAAATGGCAGACCTTTACTTCAAAGAGACAGTTCACCCCAGATCAAAAATGCATATTTTCCTCTTACTTTTAGCACTATTTATCACTCTGGATTGATTTGGTGTGAGTAGGCGAGTGTTGGAGATAGAAGCTGTAGAGATGTCTGTCTTCTCTCTCGAATATCAAGGCACCAGATGGCACTCAGGTTGTGGTGTTTAAAGCACCAAAAAAAAAACCTCAACAGTAATGCTGCTTTGCAGACATCGTGAACCAGTTACTGAACATAGTCCATAGACTTTGTTGTGAGCAGTTTCACGTAGGAACTTTTTTTTTATATAAACACTACACTTGCCAGCTGTATCACCATGCAGAAAGAAATGTGCATCTTCTGCTAGCTCACCTAGCACTGCTGAGCTAGCTCACATTACAGCTCAGCTGAGGAGGACACCTTTAAAGTTTGTATCTTGTGATGTCACAAGCACGAGCCTCTTGTTCAAGTGTAGACACATGCTTCCATCTGTGCCATGATATGGTTGACAGGTGTAGTTCGGAAGAAAGAAAATAGTTCCTACATGTAACTGCTCACAACAAGGTCCGTGGATTATCTTGAGTAGCCACATCATGATTTATGGAAAGAGACATTGCTGTTGAGTTTTTCAGATGTAATTGTTGGGTGATTTGAATACCACAAGCCGATTGCCATCTAGTTCCATTATCATCAAGAGAGGGCAGACATCTCTACGGCTGATATCTCCAACACAAAGCCCCTTAAATGTGCACATTTGTTTGATAGGTTATTACAACATGTTCTCTTCATGTAGGAGTGGACTGACAGGAAACTCAGGTGGAACCCTGATGACTATCTGGGCATCACAATTATCCGAGTCCCTTCTGACAGGATCTGGCTTCCTGATGTTGTCCTATATGATAAGTATGTGCCAATATATATGGAAGTAAATGACAGGGAAGACATTTTATATTTTCCAAAATGTATGACCATACTGACAAGCATGCAGATCACAGCACTGTATCATAAACAGTCTCTGAAGGATTTAAAAGGACCTATACAGAAAAGTCTAAAACTAAAAAATGTAGGAAATCATTTGAACCGAGCTATCAGTTAACCTTTTAAATGAATAAATATTATTTCTTTTAACAGTTCAGATGGGCGTTTTGAGGGTACTGTCACCAAGGCTGTCGTTAAGTATGATGGAACCATATCATGGACGCCACCAGCCAATTACAAGTCAGCCTGTACCATTGACGTCACCTTCTTCCCTTTTGACCTTCAGAACTGTTCAATGAAGTTTGGCTCCTGGACATATGATGGCTCCCAGGTGAGTGTCTGCTCCACAGCACAGTATTGTTAGTCATGACCAGAGGTTGACATGAGATTTCACTCTGTATTTGACAGGTGGACATAATTCTGGAGGACTTTCATGTCGACAAGAAGGACTATTTTGACAACGGTGAATGGGAGATAGTGAAGGCCACAGGCAGCCGTGGTGTGAGGACAGACGGCAGCGCTTCCTATCCCACCATCACCTACTTCTTCATCATTCGCAGGTTGCCTCTTTTCTACACCCTCTTCCTCATCATCCCCTGCATTGGCCTTTCCTTCCTCACCATCCTTGTCTTCTATCTGCCCTCCAACGGCGGCGAGAAGATCTCTCTCTGCACCTCAGTCCTGGTGTCACTCACGGTTTTCCTCCTGGTCATCGAGGAAATCATTCCTTCCTCTTCGAAGGCTATCCCGCTCATCGGGGAGTACCTGGTCTTCACCATGATCTTCGTCACGCTCTCCATCATCATCACTGTCTTTGCCATCAACATCCACCATCGCTCCTCTTCTACACATCATGGCATGGCACCCTGGGTGAGGAGGATCTTCCTGCATCGACTGCCTAAGCTGCTGTGCATGCGCAGCCATGCGGACCGTTACGCCCCAGCCGGAGTAAAAAGAGCAGGAGGACAGTTTATGAATAAGGACCTGAAACCTGAACTGACACCTCTGCTCTACACCAGACACAACCTACAAGCAGCTTTGGATTCTATTCGCTACATAACCATGCATGTGGTTAAAGAAAATGAGGTCAGAGAGGTGAGTATGTTGGATTATGTTTATTTGCATATCTATCATTAACAATAAAAATGGTAAAGGTCATAAAAATTATCATTTTGGCCCCATACTTGACTATTCACTTTCACTACTGAGCTATATGAGAGACTGACATGCTTCCTTTTCGTTCCAGGTGGTTCAAGACTGGAAATTTGTAGCCCAGGTCCTGGATCGAATGTTTCTTTGGGCCTTCCTGCTGGTGTCCATCCTGGGCTCTGCTCTCCTCTTCATCCCGGTTATTTACAAATGGGCCAGCATCATCGTCCCTGACCACAGTGGCAGTATCCTCTAAGAGCCACAGTTCAACTAGACACAAATGGAGGCAAAGCACATTAACAGCTCATTATGGGTCTTATTTGAGATTTGGAAGACTGAGATGCTGTGATTACCACTCAGATGCAGTCCTGCTCTGCTTATCCACAGTCATTCTGTATGCCACAGCGGTGCCAGAGATCAAGCTGCAGATTTGGGGGCCTTGTTTGCTGAGTGTATTACAGACTTTTTTTCCTCTGCTTGTTTGTTTTAGAGAGATTTTGAATTCTGTATTTCTGAGTTTAAAGATGAATTATTAAAAGACTCAATATATGTATTACATATGATATGAAAATCAACATTCAGCCATGTGCCATACATTTTTGTGTACATCTCACTCATCAATACATTTCAATACATTATTTTCTCCAACTATACTTGCTGCATCCAAATGTGGGTGTAAATCACATGTGCAAGTTTAAAGCAAGTTACAAGTTACTGTGGTGAGAATCAAGCTAGTCAAGTCCCTGCCATACGTCAAGCATGTCACAAGTCAAGTCATATGAAATTCTGATTATCTGGTCAAATGTTAGCTTTCTAGATGACAGCTGACCAGCCAGTAAGCTAATAGGTTAGCTAAAATATACATTCAAATATCTTTCTTTGTGAGATTTGTAGTGATGGATTAAGTTGGAAGTTGTGGTTGTGTCACTGATTTTTGAGCTGCAGTATTTACATACTGCTGTCCTCTTCTTACCACCTACACTGACTACATAATCTTTGAATCCAAAGTGTATTATTTTTGGACTAGCCCTCTCCATGATAGCTAATTCATATGTTGCCCTCTGCTGGTCCACCATGTCCAAGTAGGTTGCCAGGTTTGCACGCATGGCACTAGAAATTATCCAGTCATGTTTCAAAAAGAAAACATAACTTCTCATTATCTGGACAAATGCAAGTGCATAATAAAAAGTCAAGTCCTTTTGAGTTATCTGTATCAAGTCTAAGTCAAGTCATCCAGTCATGAATACCAATCAAGTCAAGTCTTTTATTTTTTTTTAGTCTCTTAATTGGGTTTTTAAGGACGGATAATGTGCATATTATAAAGACAGCAATCTAAATGCCACACAAAGGCAACATTAAGTAATGTACTATATATAGATATATATATAAAGAGGAAGAGGAAAAAACAAAACAAAACAAAAAAACACAGTCTTTTATCATTTTAAGTTAAGCAAGTCCCAAATCCTCAAATCTGCAACTAAGTCTGACTTGAGTCAAGTCATGGGACTCGAGTCCCCTGCCTCTGCTCACATCATAGAGTGGAGATTTATTTTTGGTTGTGATAGAAATTTGTAGACACAAAATGACAAGACAACATGTTCTCACAGGGTAATCTTGGATAAATGTCCCACTAATGGCTCTTGTGCTTAAGGGTGCAGGATGCAGTGATGAATATCAATTGCTTTCTATTCATTTCAATACCTCTTTATGTACCCCCAAGTATGTGGCAGCTCGCCACCCAGATTGACACACACACACACACACACACACACACACACAGGATAGATAGGAGAAGACCTTCATTTGCATTTTACATACTTCCCTATTTCTGCATATCCCCTATGTACCCTATGTTTGAAAAGATGACCATTTTATCTGTGGGGCATAATTCAAATAAAAGTGATGGTTTAATTTTGCGTTTCTGTAATTCTAATTTCATAAATGTGATACAGAGCGAGAACAGGGACCAGAGAACAGTATCACATATTCCTTCTACTCTAATAAAAGATGTGATTTCTCCTTCTGTGTATGCGCCACACACATCAGGCACTCCTCCTTAGGGATGCACATGGTTTAATAGTTTTACTCTGCTTGACTGTGCGTGGAAAGGGGAACTTTCTTGCCCAGACTTGAGCGTCCCTGGCAGCCCTTCCTTTCAGCTAAGGACAAATCCGGCATTCTTTGCAGGGACTGTAATACGATCCTTAGCAACAGATCAGTGCAGAGGTCCTGAGTGTTCAGGATGTTTTTAGCCTACTGTAGCTTAGTGCAGAACTGAATCTAAAGTGAAAAATAGGTCTTATAACAACTCAGTATCTGTCTCATTGTGGTAGGTGATGCATGCAGATACCTTGTGTAATATAGTTTAGAGAAATGTACCAAAGGGTCTTGGGCATGCAACACAACAATCAACACCTCCAAGCACCAGGAAGACTCTCTGTGCCCCAGCAGCTGAGCAGCTAAGACTTTGGGTGAGCCTGCAGTGCCTCTGCATGGCCATGTCTTCACATTACAGCTACAAAAAAAACAGAAAGGCACCACCAACATGAACATATTGGTGGTTGTCATGATGAAATCTCTGACGTTCCAGTTGCAGTTCCTGCTACACTTAATAGAGACTATAAATAAAGATGATAAACAAAAATAAGCACAGATAAAGGAATGAATTCATAATTTTTTGTCTTTTTATTTAAACCAAACAGACAGATGAGACGAATAAAAGTAGAAGAGACCTAGAAGAGTCCAGCAAAAAGTGAGGGCTCCTAAAGTGAGTGTAACAGATTAACATTAGGATGCCCTTCATCTGTTTCTCGGCCCTATAAATTTGATTTGTTTTCCCATCTTCTCCCTACCTGTCTCCTTTTTTTGTAATAGGTAAACGATTTTGCATGAAAATTACAATGGTGAAAAAATCTTTGCTTTTTTTCCAAGGGATCAAAGGCTTTACATTTTACTGGTGATTTGTATGAGCATACCTTTGAACATCTTCCAATAAGAAGAGCATGTTATTGACTATAAATATAAAACACTGAAGGCGCCTGTGGTGTGCTATTTAGAATAAAGAAAAAAAATCAGAACAGAATTCACACAAGGAGGTACAAGTAAGGAGCTGTAACACATTTCTGCCCACAGCTTCAACAAAGAGACCACATTGTTGTCCATTCCTGAAGAAAAGCCCAATGAAAAGATTACCCATAATCCACTTATGTAAGCCTTCCTGGAATTTGTAGTTATACATTCAGTGGTACCTTTGCTGTTTCACACCAACATCTACGCACATGCATGCCTGCAGTTACTTCGTGTGAAACAGGTATGTTACAGATCAGTCTTGAATGATATTTAATATCACTGAATTTGCCTTTGTTAAGGGGAAACTGTGATGTAAAACTGACTTAATTTCAGTGTAAATTTTATGTCATTAAAACTGAGTTTTTTTCCCAGAGCAATTAACAATGTTGTCTCATATTTTTCCTTACAGGTTAAAGATGACCCCTGGAGGAAATGCTGCTTTTCTTCGCTTATTATCTATCGTGTTGTTGTCGTGGAGAATCTGTCATGGAGGGAAGATTTTGATCGTTCCTTTGGAGGGAAGCCACTGGGTGAACATGGACATCATGATCAAAGCTCTCCACTCTCGAGGACACTCTGTCGATGTGGTACGGACCAATAAAAGCTGGTACATCAAGGATGACTCTCCGCACTACAAAACAATCACAATTCCTGTCACTGAAGCCTTCAATCATGACTTCATTAACCCAATCCTGAAAAAAATCATTGTCATAGAGAGAGGAGAGAGCTCAGTTTTGAGTTTTGCAAGTTTGCAGGCTGAGATGTTTAGTGCCATGTTTAACATGCATAGAATAATGTGCAAAATGGCTGCTAACATGTTTGAAGATAAAGATTTAATGAATAGTTTAAAGGAGAGGAAGTATGACCTGGTCCTGACTGACCCAGCATGGGGTGCAGGTATAATGTTGGCTCATGCTCTTAAGCTGCCTCTGGTCTATAATGTGCGGTGGACAACTAGCGGAGAGGGACATATGGCCATTGCACCTTCTCCTTCATCTTATATCCCTGTGACCGGCTCAGGACTGTCAGACAAAATGACTTTCATACAAAGAGTGAAAAATGTAATTTTCTCTGTCATTTGGCGAGCTCAGAATGAATTTTTAATCCGCCCACAGTATCAAGCTGTGTGTGATCGGTTCTTTGGCCCAGAAGTCAGATATAGTGACTTATTACAGGGAGCAGACATTTGGCTGATGAGAGTGGACTTTGTGTTTGAGTTCCCTCGCCCCACCATGCCTAACGTCGTCTATATAGGGGGGTTCCAGTGTAAACCTGCAAAACCTCTTCCTGAACACCTGGAGGAGTTCATGCAGAGTTCTGGAGAGCATGGAGTTATCCTGATGTCTCTGGGGACTTTTGTGAGTGAACTTCCTGCTGACTTAACAAACTTCATTGCTGCAGCTTTTGCTGAATTACCACAGAAAGTCATCTGGAGACATAAAGGTGACAGACCGGCCAGTGTGGGCAACAACACTTTAATAGTAGACTGGATGCCACAGAATGACCTTTTAGGACATCCCAAGATGAAACTATTTGTGGCTCATGGAGGAACAAATGGAATTCAAGAAGCTATTTATCACGGAGTCCCAGTTGTGGGTCTACCAATGTTTTTAGACCAATACGACAACCTGCTGCGTCTTCAAGAGAGAGGAGCTGCTAAGATTCTTACATTATCCATGGTGGACAAAGACAACAACTTCCTGAGGGTCATACAGGAAGTCCTGAATGAGCCCTCCTACACAGTGAACATGCAGAGACTCTCCAGGCTGCACAGAGATCAGCCAATAACACCACTGGAGAACGCCCTCTTCTGGATAGAGTTTGTCATAAGACACAAAGGAGCAGCTCACCTGAGAACTGAGTCCTACAGACTGCCCTGGTACTCCTACCACTCTGTTGATGTGATTCTGTCTTTTGTGGCGATTACTTTTCTCCCTCTTGTATTTTTCAGATTTGCATGTCTTGAGAAATGCTTGAAAAGAAAAATAAAAAATGACTAAACTCAGTCCCACTCATTCTACAAAAATGTTATGTGAAATTATATTACATGGGATTTTTTATTAACTAAAAAGAAATGCATATACGTACAAGAAAAATACAACCATAAACCAGCTATCCCCATGTCCACTGGCTAAAGTTCCCTTTGAGGTGCAGCAGGGAAATTATGGTGGGCTGTTGAGCTTTCCCTGAAGAACAGGGATTTGTTCCTTCATTTTTCCTTTCTTTTTCCCATGCAGGATAAAGGTTCGCTAACAATCAGGTAACAGGCAGGCTTAATACCAGTGTGACACAATCCAGATTCAGGTTTACATCACAGCAAGCACTTAGAAATACTGAGAAGTTAACTGAGACCTTTGCCATCTGATAGGACGTTTGTTTTCAGTGCTTCATTACACTCTAAAGAAACATTTTCCTTATATTTTCAAGCTGAATGGCAGCCAAAATATAGGATACTTTTTCTTTCAAAGGAAATGCTCTGGTGTTTAAGGTGACCTCACATACTCAAATCCTAACTCCACTCTTTCCATCAGCTCCCCCACTGTATTTCCCAGCAGCAGCAGTAATGAGAGAGGAGAGGAAAGCAATAACAACAGATATAGCCTATTGGATGCTCCTTGATGGCCACTGGGGGTGGGGTNCTCCCTCTTGTATTTTTCAGATTTGCATGTCTTGAGAAATGCTTGAAAAGAAAAATAAAAAATGACTAAACTCAGTCCCACTCATTCTACAAAAAAGGCAAGGGGGAAAAGGTCAATGGTTGACCTTTAAATTGGACACAAATTACTTACTGACGATGCAAAGTGCGATCACAAGCTAAACATGTGATGCGGACTGCAGCCTGATTAGCCAAGTCAGGGGGCCAAATAACCCTTGTTGAAGGAAAAAGGAACATTGCCCATTTCCAAATGGTGTATTGACATATTTCTGCATACTGGGGTCCCTAAACTGTCTTGGAATTACATAATGTGGGTATAACTGGAAAAGTGAGAGTTGACAGCCATATACTCCTCACACTATTTCAGTTCTGCACACAATTTGACCAATTTATGATTAAAATAGCCCTTAAGATTTAATTAATATGAAGGAAAAAAATTGTTCACTCCTGATTTGATCTTATGATTTAATACCTTACAGTAGTTTCCTCAATTTTCTCTAATCATTCACTGGCGGGCTTTTTCTTCTGCACAGGACAAATATGTGACTACCTCTGCTTTTCAAAGTAACAAAACAAGGTCTTAACAACAAGTAGGCTACAAGCTGATACAAAATACATGTGGAAATATGATTAATTTGACTATAATAGCAGGAAGAATGAAAATGTATCGGAAAAACCCCCACCCATATTTCCTAAAGGCTGGTCTGCTCGTTATGCAGCACAGCTTAAATACAAAGACAGGACCCACAAATTCTCACAAGCAGTGAGCAGACCTTCTGCACAGACCCATTCACATATTACACACCATCAACAGGTGACTGACAGCTGATTAAACAAACAAATAATGCAAAACTACATAACAATATTGCAGATAGCAGCAAAAACACAACAGCTTCAGACAAACAGCATACAGCGCTATATATAACCTTAATGACATTAACATGTACACTGCAAGGAGTTAAAGACAGACAGACAGATCGATCGATAGATAGTGTATCTGACTCACATTTGTTGCTGAAGTTCTTTAACCCTTCTGTCATGGAGATGAAGTAGATACTGATGTCCAACTGCACTTGATGCTTTGACAGCCTTTTTATTTGTTTGCTTGTTGACATAGTCTGCTTCCTCTTTGAAAGTCATTTCGTTTGTTTGTTGACCGTCTTTGTTTCCTCTCTCTGTCTCTGCTACATGTAGCTAGCTTAGCATGTTTGCCGATGTCATTAGCAACACTGGAAAACGAGCTAACGTTTCTGCTACTTGGAAGCTAACTGTTGTTTCATTTAAAGTAACTTTCGTTGTTAACTTTCTGCTGTTTGTTTTGTGACGGGCTTCACAATATAATGAAGAGTTTCTTTACCTGCGACGTGTCCGTCAACAGTGTCGGAGTGTCTTTAAAGAGGGCGCCTTGAATTGTTTGACACTTCACTGTATTTTAATTAACAGATGCAACTTTCACCTGGCGTTGAGTTCAGACAGGGTGTAATATCCCGTTTGACCACTGACACATGGGGGCGCTGTTTGACTCATTCATCATGAAAGATGGGGAAAGTATAAAAATACCATAAAAGAAAAGTATTAAATCAAAGACAGTTTTACATAGGCCTATTGTGGGACACTACAATTTAATTTAACTATATTTAAAATACTATGTTAACTCCTTAGGAATTCACAACTGTTTCTGCACAATAGCTGAGTTGGATAAGCTTGTCACCATGGTGATTTTCACCTCATCTATAGTTTCATCCAATCAGCCTGCAAAACACCTGAGATCAAGTCCATATCAAACTATGTATAAATGTAGCCTACACACCTGACTGTGTCCTCACTCATATTGTCAGCAAGAGGTTTGCTTTCAGTCTTATGAACAGTCTTATGAACGTCACTTTCACTTAGCTCTATTACATTTTAAAATGCCCATTAAAATTAATCTGATTCTGTACCTTTTACCATCCCTGAGTGTTATGTGTCGCTTCACTGTGACTGTTTGTATTTAGCTGATTTTTCCTTTCTTTTTGAGTTTATTAAATATTTGTGGTCATCACACAGCAGTCCAGGTTGATTGAGTGAGAATATGTGGAAAACAGCAGCTGTCCTCAGGATGAGTCCAGCTCCATTAGAGCTGGTGGGACATTTTTATTATGACTAAAAAGAAAAAACAAATACAACTCCATTTTCCCAAAATAAATATATGTCTATTTTCCTGTTCTGTCCAGGTTATTATTATTATATCAAGTTTTTACTGATGTTGCTAAATGCAAATTCATTGTGTGCAAGTAGCCTTCTTTCACACAGCGTCTGGAAATACCTGTGAGAAGAAGATGATGATATAAACAGATAGTAAACAGAAAGGTGGGTTTAATTTATCAGACCACACGTGCTGTTATGATAAAGCTTTGTTCTTTCATTTTATCTGAAAAGTTATATTTACATGTATTTCTTGGTCCCTGTTGTTCCACTGAGGTCTTCACAGGGCAACAGGACAGGAGTCAGCGGTGCAGGATGCTGGAGGAGGCTGTTGATGGAGGTTGACCACAGCTGTCTACTAGAACCTGCAGGTCGAGGCACAAACTGCAGGTTGCTGGCAGAGGCTGTAGGTGGAGGTTTGGCAGCAGCTGTTTACCAGAATCTGCAGGTGGAGGCGGCAGCTGCAGGTTGCTGGCAGAGGCTGTAGGTGGAGGTGTGGCCACAGCTGTCTGCCAGAATCTGCAGGTGGAGGTGGAAACTGCAGGTTGCTGGAAGAGGCTGTAGGTGGAGGTGTGACCACAGCTGTCTGCTGGAATCTGCAGGTGGAGGCGGAAACTGCAGGTTGCTGGAGGAGGCTGTGAAAAGAGGTGTGGCCACAGTTGTCTGTCAGAACCTGCAGGTGGAGGTGGCGGCTGCAGGTTGCTGACAGAGGCTGTAGGTGGATCACTGGATGGAGCTGTCTATGAGAATCTGCAGATGGAGGCACTGGTGCAGGTTATTGGCAGAGGCAGTGGGTGGAGGCTGACAAAGATTTCTGATGGAATACGGTTCTTTAGCATTTAAGGTGATGGAGCTGGTGGAAGGTTGTAGTTTCAGCATTTGTCTGTAGCTCTTTGCAGGTGGAGACTCGGGCAGCAGACAATGGCTGTAGTATAACAACAGTTTAAACCTGAGCGTGTCTGTGAGAGGCTGTAGGTGTAGGATGAGCAGGACACTTTAGAGGCGAGAGCTGGAGGTTTGGCTGCAGCTGTCTGCCAGAATCTGCAGGTGGAGGCGGCAGCTGCAGGTTGCTGGCAGAGGCTGTAGTTGGAGGTGTGACCACAGCTGTGTGCCAGAATCTGCAGGTGGAGGCAGTGGCTGCAGGTCACTGGCAGAGGCTGTACATGGTGGAGTTTAAACCTGACAGTGGCAGTGAGATGCTATTGGTGGAGGCTGATAAAGGATACTTCAGAGGCTGCTGGTGGAGCTGTTTCTATAACTGTCCATCAGAATTTGCAGGAGGAGCATGGGGGAGCAGATGGGAGGTAAAACCTGTTGGTAGAGGCTGGAGGCAGCACATGGCTACAGCAGGCTGGAGGCAGAGGTTGTATCTGCAGCAGAGTGACAGAGGTGGAGAGAGATTTGCTCTGTTGCAGCACAAAGCTACAATACTTCACTTAAAACTATGATACTTAACTTAAAACTACAAAACTTAACCTTAAAACTACAAAAGTAAAACTTAACCTTAAACTACAAAACTTAACTTAAACTACAAACTATTTACATATTTGAGCTAACATGAGTAATATTCAGTGCTTGAATGCAGCACTGAATGATATGAATTTCATGGCACAATTTTTGGCAAAAAATTCAGCCTCCCTTTAGAAAATGACATTATTCTTCATGAGCATGTGGGCCTGTTAGTCCTTTCAACACATTTAGTTTTTGTTTCCTAAATTTTCCCCATGAAATATCAGATCAACTGACCAGGGTGCTCAGGAAAATAATGTGCTGGTGGGTCCATTAACCCTGGGTCTGAACACACTCTGAGTGTGTGTGTGTGTGTGTGTGTGTGTGTGTACAGTTTTTCTGTGCTAAAATATTACCAGACATCACATTTTCTGTGGTAACCTGAATAAATATTTTCATTTGGGAATAATAACCAGGGTCTTAAATTGTTTATGCAGTGGCCTTCTTCAGGACAGGACACAAAAACATCTATTAAATGACCACAAATCATTAAGTTCACATATGTGCTGGGAATTATACTCTAAGTTCATGTACTTTAGAGTTGTACTCTTGGCTACACTTAAACTCACAGTATAACTTTGTCTCCCAGCTGGAAGCTGGCTGATATACATTATTTAATGGGACACATGAAAAGATTAAATGATTTTCATCAGTGAGGCGGCCATTTTGATTGTTTATGTGCAGATTTGTTATTTTTCAAACCAACAGATGAAGTGATCTGTTACAGTCTTCCCTACAATTAATAAATATTAATATAATATACATTATGATTTCCACGTCAATATATTTTGTGTACCATGTGACACCTGGAGTTGGGGGGAGTATGAAAGCAGATGAGAGACAAAAAAGTTGGCCAATTTAATTTTAACAGCCATTGAATGCTCAGTATTTAAATGTAAACACCTCTGAATTCATAGCATTGAAATATTTGACTTTGAAAACCATGTATCTGAATTCATTCATCTGAGTTCAACTTTTTTAGGATTAAAAGGAGAAATTTCTTGATTTACAATTTCAAAGGCTGAATCTGAATATATTTTCCACTTATGTCTCTTATTTGTGTCTATATGATGATCATGCTAAGCCTGTTAATAATGTATTAGTGAACTTAAAGTCTCATAGATAAAACACACACACAAAAAAAAAAACAGTCAAAAGTGTTGAAATCTTACAGTTTCCATGATGGAAGTCAGTTGAAAGGCATTCAGTAAGTCTCTGTGAGTCTTTAGTCCTTGTCAGGATGCAGCAAGTCCTCAGGAGAAGCGTTTAGTTTGAAGAAATCGTGGAGTGATAAACTTTTCTGGACTGCTCTCTGTGTTGTCTGTGTTAAAATGATGAACTTGTGTATAAATAATGCACCTGGAGACAAACCATAGCAACCGTGGAATCCTTCACCTCCATTTTGTGCATGTGTGTTGTCACAGTCACATCTCCCCTCTCTGTGTGTGTGTGTGTGTGTGTGTGTGTGTGTGTGTGTGTGCAATCTTCTTCAATAAAATATTTTCACTTTGCTATCAATGTTACCATTATTGTTAAATATAAATATAAATAAACAATACAAAAAAAACCTGTCCAATCAGTCACACATAAGAAAAGTCATCAAACTTTACAAACTCTGCAGAAACAGTTCCTCTACAGAAGAGCTATAGATTAGGCATTTCACATTTTTGCGGGAGGCTCTGCAGAGGCTCACACGTCTGTACGTAATTCCCTTTTGTCTTCACTTACAACTCACTAGAAATGTGTTTTAAGATAATTAGAAATGTATTATTTATTTTGGAAGGTCATTGTGTGCTGTACAGCAATCATCAGATAAATAAACAGACAACTCTAATGTTGCAGTGTTTTTATATGCAAAGACTCTGCCCTCTGCCTGTATTATTTTATTTTATTTCCATGCTGCTGTGTTCAGGACATTTCTGGACATATAGCCCCCAGCCAATGAACAGGCTGCAGGTGAGGTCTGAGCTTTATATAACTGCAGTGGCCAAACCATGAGCAGCACATATCTCAATCTACTGTGTTGGTTTGAATGCTGGATTTTATTTTAATGTAGCTACCAGTGATGGTGGCTTTGCAGACATTTTGCTGCTGTTTTGTTTTGACTTCTGTCAATTATTTAGTCCAGCTGATGATATTGTAGCTGTTGTTTATTATTGATATTGAAGTTCTGGATATCTTACACTGCTACTGTAGGCCCCTACTGTAGTCAGGGGGGTCAAAGGGCACAGATGACCCCGACCCAAGGCCAAGGAGGGGCCCATGAAAAGGTCTATGGTTGACCTTTAACTTGGATCCACTACAACAACTTACATACTGACTTAAATCAATGACAGTACAATACAGTACAGCACCCATAGGTAGTCCATGGTGCAGTCCATTTGACATGGGTCAGGTGCACAGAAATCACAAGCTTGTGAAGCATGTGAGGCAGACTGCAGCCTGATAAGCAAAGTCAGAATCCCTCACCAAAAATCAGGGACTCCTAAAGGAAAAGCCAGGGTACAGAGAGAACAAAAAGACGAGAGGAGCAGAGAGGCAGTGGCCACATGTCTGGCAAAACAATGTGAAGAAGCAGCAGGTACGACAGGCAGAGCTGAAGGTGAGGCGTGAGGTAGAGTCATTTTTAGCAAATAAACCCTGCTGTATTGGGCTCAGTTTAAAGCTACAGTGAAGACACAGGTATCATATTAAACTAGAGGACCTAAGGCATCCCTTGGTACCAACCATGTTAAGCTATCTTGTTGGAAAGGGGGCCAAATAATGCTCCAAAGTTACACTACATTTTGTCGAAGGAAAAAGGAACATTGCCCATTTTCAAAATGGTGTATTGAAATATTTCTGCATACTGGGGTCCCTAAACTGTCTTGGAATTACATAATTTGG